TGGTGTTCCTTAATATCATGTCACCAGAATAGACAAAAGGAGAAAATAATTACTTCTTTTTCTTTAGACTAGGATTATGAAATGACTTCAATATTTCCCTCCAAAACTGGTAAAAATTAGCTTGTTGGATTTTTCTGAGTTTTAAAAACTTTTTATCATTTTGCTTTTCCTCAGAAATTTTTCCAAGTGTCATTTTTTTTATGGTGTGACAGGTCGGCAGGGGATGCTTATTCCTCCGTGGCACCTGATCCCACCTAGGATGTTTTGGAGGTCCGTGTTTGCTCTGCTCCTATTTTGTATTGTTAAATGGACTTTTGAGCTTGAAAACTGTTCGTTATCTCTATATATTTTATACAAAAAAGTTCAATAGGTTATCGAGTAAATGCAGTACCAGTTCACTTTAGAATCAATTTGGATGAAAAAATAGGGAAACTGATTTAAATAATTCAACTGTGAGAAACTTTCCTTTCGCACAAAAACTGAATAAGTGAATAAAGGGGTAGACATGTGATGGATAAAGCATTCATCAAAAGAAAACGTTCAAATTGAATTCGAAGTGTATTGCAGGGCTTACATAGTTTGGGTTTTCTCCAACAGGAAAGCAGAAAATTGGATGGTCTCTTCCTATTTTTTGTGTGATTGCAGAGAGTGGTGCTAATATCTATTCATAAAGAAATAACGAACAAATTTATTTTATTTTTATCTCATATTATTATTATTATTATTTTATCTTTAAGTGCCATTTCATTCAAGTTAAAAAATAAGATAAACTTTTAGAAAGAAAAAAGAAATCTTGGTGAGATTACATGTTCATTTGGCATTAAATCCATTTCATTCTCAGTGGCCTCTAAATTCTTAAAATCTGTTAGTTTGCCGTCTGTAAATAGAACCACTCTTGGATTGAGATGGAAGTCACCAATGCGACTTGTGTGGGCTGTAAAAAATTAATGTTAACATGTTAAACATGTTGATCAAAAGTTTGAACAGTCTGACATTAGAAATAGATTCAACATTAGTGTGATACATGTGTAGCATTAGATCGTATCTTCAGGGAATCTGTAGAATACACATTTTCTAAGAACTTTGGTTTCTTTTAAATTTTCTTCCATCAACAATAAATTTAATACAATATTAAGTTAAAAATGAAAACATAAACGCAATGTATAATATGCAGTTTTTACTTTAGTCCATTTCTATTAAATTTTGATCTGTACAATTGATCCTTTTTAAATTTCCCCTCCATCTATACAGACAAAAATTTCTAACTTCCCACTCTTTTGTATTAGTTTCAGAGGCCACGTATCCATCCTTAAGTTTGTCCTGCATTTCAATGCACCCAGAAGTGTAGAAGATCTGATGACCTCAATGGGCAAAACTTCATGTGACTAAACATGAACAAGACCACTACATGAAAATTGCCCATCTTAATGTTAGGCACCTAGCTTTATTTAGAATTTTAATAGTTTGGAAGCAGTTGCAGTTTGGAATTTTCTGTAGAATTATCTGTTGGATTATATATAGAAAATACTGGGTGTAAATATCGTGGACTGGAGCTTAGCTTATGTTCACTGCATCTATTGCTTTGTTGGAAAAATCAACAGGTTAAAATTGAAAGAACAAGTACAGGGCTAAAACCATTACCAAAACACCTTAGCTTGTATTCTGTAATTATAGAATCGAATTATGGACTTGCTTAGCTTCTTTAAATAATCCATTCAAGATTTAAATCCATACATGTAACCATTTCCTCTTGTTCATATTATAATAAATCTACATACCGGCTCCCTCGTACAGCCCCCCGAGGGCCAAGAGAAAGGCGGCAGTGAGTGGCGAGGGCCCACCACATTCAACCTCCTCTGAAAGAATTTAATAACATCAACAAAATGTGATACATGTAACTAATAATTATATAGCATATCAAAGTCATCATTTGGAATGAAGTGAAAAATAACAGAAATTTAATTGAGTAAAACACATTTTAATTCTCCATGTCGAATACTATTTACTGAAATTTATATTTAATCTGTCCACAACTAAAATTTAAAAATAATGAGCTGATATGAATTGTACATCTCTTTGTAAAATATCAATGACTCTTCAAAGAGCACTTTTCTAAACACAATGTTTTCTCTGATATTTTTTGAACTACATGTTTACATGAAATCCAGAGCGAATAAATAAAGTTAGTGTTTTTACCAATGCTTTGTTTTATTGTAGAATATTGGTTGGAATAATAATGCAGAAATTTGGTTTCTTGTCCAAAAACAATCACAGATACATTCTCATCAAGATCTGGTTGGTCATCAAACTCTATAAATGTCAAAAATTGTAGAAGTGTATCATAAAGAAATAGATACTCAGACAGATATCATTTTCAGAACAAATTGGCAACCCTCTAGTATCGCCCCCACTCCTCGCTTCATCTGCCTTAAAGGTTCCCCTCTCATGCTCTCAGAAAAGTCCAAAATAAAAAGAACACAACTTCCTCTTCCCTTCTGATATCGGAGGGCTTTCTCTACAAATAACAGGCAAACGTAAATTGAAATTTGCGTAATGATTTTAGCAATTTGAAATACGAGTATGAATAAATATTATAAAAATGATATTAAAAATGAAAATGTGTCTGTGAAACACTAATTATGGTAGCCAATGGCGAGGATTGAAGTTTCTCTGATGCAAGTCAAACTCCAAACGGCAAGGTCAAAAGTCATATTTGTTGGTATCCAAAGGAATGTCTAGTCAAATAGAATAAAATTGTGAAAGATGAAAGCCCTATTCCAAATTTATGGCCATTATTAGGGTTTTAAAAGAGTTTTAAAGGTTTTTCTATTAATTGAATACACCTGTGAATGATGAAAGCCCTATAGCTATCTGTTCAAATGTTATGGTCGAGATTAAAGTTTTTTAACAAGGCAAAACTCTAAGGTCAAGGTCAAAAGGTAAAAAAATTCTACCGATTGAAAGACCTTGTCACAATAAATACATATGTATTATTTACATTATGTACCATAGTCCCTAGCACCAACTATTCAAAAATAATGTCCAGGGTTTAAGTCAAGTAATTATTTGTAAACTTTGGATCAAAATCCAAGGTCAAGAGGTCAAATTTGCTGTTATCCAAAGAAAGGCTTTGTCACAAGTAATATACCAGTAAAATATAAATGCAATAGCCTACCTACTGAAAAGTAATGACCAAGGTCACTAATTTTGCGGACGAACAGACAAACAGACAGACGTACGTTCAGGACAAAAACTATATTCCCACGATCTTCGATTACGGGACAAAATAACTGAAGTTTTAGAATATAAAAATAATCAACTGACGTACGTTTTACAGAATCAACTTTTGCTTGCGAGAGCCACATACACTCGTACATAGTAGTATCCATGTCCTGAAGGAAATTCTGTTATTTACTTTGAAAGATGAATGTTCAATGGTGATTGTATCTTCGACTTAAACATCAAATTGAATAGCAAGAGTAAGATGAATTATCAGATCAAATATAAAAATCACAAACCTGTCTTGTTCCTGCTGTTACTTAGTCGAAATCTATACACACTTATTGAGGATACAGGAAGTTTTTCGTATTATGATAATGAAGCAGTCACAAAAATACAGGAAGGATGATGAATTGTTCAAATGCACTAAAATGCTTTTTGTATAACTCTTAAAAAGAATTTTAAATGCCAAAATGATGTCAAGTTTTTTTTTCTGAGAGGGACGAAGACAACTTGATTTGATACACAATTATACATCGCACATCACTTTACCAAAAACGATTATTCTCACTTCATGATCAATAAGAAAGCTTACTAGCTTCCCTTTTGATTTTTTTTCCGAGTTCATCCTTCCAATTTACATCTTTAGAAAACGGATACAGATCTGCAAAATGCGCAAGTTTCTCCTATTTTTTAGATTGAATAATCGTGCAACATGCTATTTTAAAAATACATTTGTGTAAACAAAAGGCAGGACTATCCTCTATCACCAATTATAACAAAACAGAAATGCTTGAGAATAAAAAGCAATGTTCAGTGTTCGCTCAGAAAGAATTCCAATCTGTATCAGCCTTTCTTGGTCTGTAAATGACAATAAGTGTACACAGACAAAAGGTATATTTGTCTCATTTTTATTTATCTTATACAGTATTTAAAACTTAAGAACTAGGGGTCCAAGCACCTTGTAATTGTTCCCCTTTGTCATATTGCAATTGGTTCAGGGGTTCTAGAGAATTGATGTACACAACCGACAGAAAAAAGCGATAGCAAAAGTTCAACTGAGTATCTCACTTAAAGCATAGAAATTAAAGATGTTTAATAAATGTAAAAACATATGATATATAATGCAACATGTTTTCTAAATCCTAGAATAATTCCCATTTAAATAAAATATATGAAGATAACGAACAGTATTTGAACTCAAAAAACCATAAACAATACAAAATTGGAGCAGAACAAAGACCTCCAAAACGTCAGAGGTAGAATCATGTGCCATGGAGTAGTGAGCATCCCCTGTCGACCGGTCACACCCGCCGTATGTCACTTGTCATGATCGGGAACCAAAGCCAATTCAGTGTGTAAATAATGGCCTAACACTAAGTATAAAAACATCATGATCAGTTAGCATATGTCTTAATGGATAAATTGTATTTGCAGATAAGGTCATTGTATCGACCAAAGAACTTGCGCAATGATGACTTTAAACCAAACTGCTAATATTCTTGTTTTAGCATTTGTCTGTCAATAAATTACTTTGTTTTAGAAATCGTTTATATAAATCATGCTCTTGCGTATCAGCTGAGAGATATAAACCGTATATGCTAGTGATGAAGGTATATTGCTGCATAAGTATGGGAAGTTGATGATTGAAGAAGTGAAAGTCATCACGTATTTTGAATTAAAATATCTAAAAATGAGACAGATTTGTCAGACTTTGTAGTATCTTATATTTCAAGCTCATTGGGATATATCTTTATCGACATAAGAATGGAAATAGGACATGAAAAGTGTATTCAATAAGTTATAAATAAAATAAATCTGAAAAGCTTAATGTTTTTGTAAGCATTGATGCCAAAAATAGTTTGATTTCAGGGAAACTGCAAATGTTCAGAAAACAATCAGTGATTTTTTTCACTCTTGAGAAGTCGGATATCAGTGCTTTGTCTTGTTTTAATATCAATCTTCTTCATCTTTGATAAAATGATCCTGTACCTAAAGAGATAAACAAAAGTACACCATGGTAAACTCTGACAAGGACAGCTTGGATAGTCAAAAGAGAGAGAACGTTTTAGATAGGCCATTTTTTGTATTGTTCTGGCAAAGTAATTCATTAAATTTAAAAATCTCTTGACTCATTAATTGGTTTTACAACACTTAAGACTTCTGTTCATCACAAAGTAGTTATAAATGTATAATTCATGTAAATGTAAATCAAGACCATTGCTCTTTTAGTATTCGACATTTTCTAGCTGTTCCCTCGGCAATTTTCGTGTCCTTAGGATAAGAAAAAAGAATTGTGTAGAGAAACTCTGGTAGCTCTCTTAAACAAATCATGGAAGATATATCTGATTATTTCACAAAATAGGTTTTTATTTTAAAATATGTTTTCAGAATACTTTGCCAATACTTTACATATAGGAGTATGTAAAAGTATATCATACTTGAAGAACCTCTGCAGCTGCAGAAGTAAAATATTTCAAAACAACTGGTCATTTACCCAGAAAAAAATGTTAATCTTACCAGTTGTCCCGGATGTTAATAAGTACTGTGGCTCTATTATTCTTCCTGTAATCAGTATCGATCTTTTGACTCATTTCTTTAGGGAAGTTTACCCACTGACCATCTTTGTCTCTATATTGCCAGATATCTGTAGGGGGAGACTTGGCCTCGGCTTCATTCTCATGCTTGTCATCGATGAATCCAGAAGTTTTACTATAGTGATAAACATCTCCCGGATCGTCACATTTAGATGTGGTATTTGGATTTTTACCATATGGAAGGACGGGTCCGTTCACGAAAGGCGTAACAGTCAGACTTCTTATAGAAAGATGTGTTCTCCCTCTTTCCTCCTCTCGAGATTCGATCTCAGGCGCTTGTAAATAAATGCATTAAATGAAAAATCACACTCGCCCCTCTCAACCAAACAAAATTATGATTTGAATACATAATGCATAGTAAACAAACTTTTCGTGGATAACACAACGTGGGATTTTTACAGATAATTAAAAAAAGCATCTAATATTTTCTTCTACTAATAACTTAACCCCAAATTGAATCATATTCATAGTCAATTAATGAACATACATTTTGTATTGCTGGTGTCATTTGCTAATTTAGAAGCCATTTCTCCAGCTTCTTGTTTTTGTTGTCTCAATCTCCTAATTACATCCGAGTCAAATGGGTCACTAAAATATCATAAACAAAATGCTTTTGAAAATTAAAAAAAAATTAGTTAAAGGTACACTATCAGTATATGATGTTTTTGACTATGGATAGGTACATACCACAGCTTGACATCAAACTTTCCATCATAACCAAATCTGTAATTGCTTTTATTTGAATTTGGCCATCTTACCTATAATATTGACAATTTTTTTCAACATACGAGTAATAAATAAGTTTTTTTCATATCTCTTTCAAATATCAAGTTATTGTTAGAATTATTTACATGAACGACAGCATTCCTTTTCATTTTGTATACCACTCCAATACTTCCTTTTCCGCCATCTTGATCTTCCCACTGCCAATTAGGGCCTTTAATGGTAAGAAAAAATAACAATGTATCATAAAATATTTTTGTAATATTCCTGCTATCGTCCAAATGTAACGATAAGAGGTGAGTTAATAAAAATATAAATATGGAAAAAAACACAAAACGATTTTTTTTCTCTAAAACAATCAAATCTTTTTGCCAAGAGTAAAAGATTTTTGAATAGTTTTACCTCTTTCGACAAGACAACCGACAGCTATTAACTCGTCGTTCAGAATTCTAGGTTCATCACATTCAACCAAGTCAAAGTTTTCAAACATCCCATTACTACCGTACCGATAAGGAAAATTCAAACCCGCATCCCATACCACGCGTAACCAACCATCTAAGAAAGGTCCAATAATGAGTGAATTGAATATAATGAAGCATTCAGACGCTTACCAAAGTTCGAAGTTTTATTAATAAGAAAGATATCTTTAAAAAGGAGCTTTGAGTAAAAGTAAAATAAGTTAGCTTCGTAAAGTCCCTCCTATAATTATCCTTACACCTTCCGCAGTCGTTGTGGTTAACAACAGTGCCTGGACCGTGACAGTCCTGATCCCCCCACCGCCAGTCTGGCCCCCGCCGAACCCTTGTACCCACCGGGGGCATCTGTGGATTATATTCATCATTTTCATCATCATCGTCGTCATCATCCACAATACTAGGGTTGCCTTTGTAAGTGGTTCTTTCACTTATCAGTTCTAAAATATCATTCTGTAAAAATGATTTACATCTTAAACTATAAATATATTGATTGGCACTTTTTTAAAACAAACATGGGGATTCAGAGCAGTATATGAATTGCATTAAAGTTTAACAAAAAATTAATTTATTGACAACAGATCAATGTTTCCAGTATGTTACCCTGTCATCGCCTGTTGCTGAATTCATCATTCCAGTAGATATCATGGCTAATTCTAAATCTCCATGAGAAAATCTCTCACCTTTTATAGTCTGCAAAATCTGATCCGCTCTTTTCTGAAATTGCATTATGCCAAGCTATAGAGAGGTATATATTAACTATACTATTTATATTATACTATTACTTAACTTAACTATTTATATTAACTATTTATCCTTAGGAAATGTTTTCCATGTTTACTTTTGGATTATTTTTTTTGTCTACTGATTGTAGTTCACTGACCATGTTAAGATGGTATCTTCCATACTGTCTGGCTTGTTGGGGTTGTATTAGTTTTCCTCATACGCAATCGATCCCAAAAGACACTATATATCAGAGTACAAAAAAAAACAACTTACACCTACTCTTCTAAAATCATTCATTTAACAAAGTACAGTGTACAGTATAGAATTTTTATTGGGAAATAATACAATTACACTTTGCAAAGACTTACAAAATCGGGATCCTTTCCTACGGGGATGCAATTTAAAGAAATGCCTCGTCCGATATCTCCAGTAAGGTTCATTAAAGATTTCCTTGTCTGAAATTAGTTTCTGGGGGCGGTTAAGGGACCCCATATATGTCACTTATTGAATGTTATTTACAATGTATGACTTAACGAGATTAATCATCAACAAATTTTAAAGCATTAATTTCAGAAGTTAAGGAAGTATTTGTTTTTAAATATCTAGATTTCTTTATTTTATAAGATTTCATATATCAGGTAAACCTCTACTGGGTCCATGAAATCTTCGTCCTCCTTTCCTCCTATCATGTTTGAAGTTGTGGGCTTCCCATCAGTGATAAGCACAAGCTTAGCCTCGACTTGGAATGTGCCAATCCTTGTTGTATATCCTGGAATGTAGATTGGGTGAGACTTTCTGACTATTGATGAGACATATGGAGATAATGATCAGTAATCAAGATCAAAAGTCCAAAACAATACAAGAAAGGAGAAGAGCAAACATGGACCTCCAAAACATCAGATGTGGGATCAGGTGTCATGGAGGAGTGAGCATCCCCTGCCGACCGGTCTCACCCGCCGTGTACTCTTTGTCATGATCGGGAAATAACAGAAAAAGCCGTCGTTAATTCAGTGTATAAATAATGGATTAACAGTAAGTTTGAAAAGTGTAAGTCAACATATGACTCGATGATCAATTTTATTTGCTGACAGAGTCATTGTATCGACCAAAAAACTTACGAAATGATGACTGCTAATATTTTTGTTTCATCAACTTGTCCTTAATTCATCTCGTTTTAGAAAATGTTCATAAGTAGAGCATTCTCTTGCGTATCGATTCAACTGAGATACAAAAAATCCGTATGTCGTACGTTTCTAAGCTGTTGATTTTGGTAAAATCTTGTGATTTCAAATTGTTCAAAAGTTCCGTGGAAGTTTTACAGAATTGATGCAATTTTTTTATATCTTTGTTTCGAATTAATCCTATAACTTAAAGTTTAAATTGAGGAAGGTCAAGGTCGTAAATTCATACATTCTGTGAGTATGTAAAATTTTTTTTCTAGGAGAAATCTCAAAAAGCTTTTTGAGCTTTTGCAATTCAATTTTATACGATAGTTTTCTATTGCTCTGTCTGTCCTTCTTAAAGTGTCCCCTTTCGATACCGTCCCCCTCTAGATCCACACAAACTCTTCTTTTTTCCTTTGGCTGGGAACACATATTCTCTGAATTAGCTTGTAAAGTTCTTCAATAACGTTCATCATATTAGAGAGCTCAAATTGAAGTAATTTAAAGTTTGAATTACCACTTTTGAAGTTTATATACTATTTGCAAGACAATTAACGAATCTTTCCTTTAAAAGTTGAGAAAAAAATGTTTACCTCCGCCAAAGAGCAATCCAGAGAGAGAGAGAGTGATGGCAGCCTGAATGGGAGAAGCTCCCTGGCATTCTATATCATCTATCATCATAAAATGTTTTGAAAGATGGCATAAAACAAGCATTGAAAATAAAAAACACATCACAAACTTTTCCTGTAAATAAGAAAAATTGACCAATAAACGTAAATTTTTTTTACCCAGACATCTTTTCAGTGACTGGTAGTTGTTGGAGTAATAATGACGAAATCTAACCTCCTCTCCAAAGGTTACAACAGCCACTGTTTCATCCATGGGTCCCTTTGCATACTCTTAAAAAGATGTTTTAAAGTTGCACAGACACAGATTTAAAGTAAATATTTTCTAAAATTTTCCTATAATTTACTTATATGTTGCAATAGCACTTCACACGAAAATATAATAAAAATCTTATTTCATCTCCAAGTTATTGAAATTTCAAATTTCTGGACAGGTTTGATTGGCACTCTCTTGCACTTTCACAAATTTTAATTTTATTCTAAATACTTACGAAAAGTGGCAATTTGTTGTGTATAAATGAAAAATATAAAAACTATAATGCAGAATATTCAGAGTAGAAATGTTCCAAAGTAAAACCACTTTTCTAGTATCGTCAGTCCGTGCTCTGTGTTCTGTACAGAGTTTAAGAAATAGAATACACCAGTGAAACATAAACTGTTCAGTGTTTCTAACACAGGGCACGTCAATCAGCTGATATTAGCGTCTCAGGTTGATGTAGGATGTTATAGGAAAAAGGGGATGAACTACTATCTATAATGTTAGATTTGTATAATAAAAATGCAGTACCTTCTATGATGTCAATAAAAACCGTCTTCATTTGCTGGAAAGCTTCTCCGGCCATACTTCCTGACGTATCTAAAGCAAACATCACACATGGCCCCTTTCCTTGTTGGTACTTTAATTTCCTGTCTACATAAATAAATAAATGCTTAAAGCTTTACCTTTTCTTCTTTGAAAATTGCAAGCAACTCATTAGGGGGTGTTGTCTCCTCCATTGTCAATATCAATTTCGTATATTTCAAATTCATAATGTCAACAATAAAACTCTATTTTGTTCGTTCATGCAATCGTTTTATACTTGTTTTTGAGTTTGGCTAGAATAAAGGTAGTTAGAAATAGAATATAAAATAACGTTTTTGTTTGGTGAAAAATTTGAAGCGTTCACAATCAACAAAATAACCATTCAATGTTGATCCAGAATAGTTACATCCCTTGTCTCTTCAGGGTAATTGTCATCAACAATTTTACCATCAATAATTTCTAGCAAAAGTCTCCAAACGCAGTACTTTGTTAACTGAAGTTCTACTCGATTGCCTAATTATTTTTTAAATTTTTAACAATTTTTATTTTATCGTTATTTTAATCTATAAACAATATAAATCTATGAAGAATGCATAAAACGAGGGCCCCTGGAAATTTGTGGGATTAGGTGCTTAGGAGGAGTAAACAACCTTGTGCACACCAATAAGATACAACATTATTCCGTAGTCAGATACAGTATAAAACAAAGGCCCAACATTTTAGCCAAAACACGACCCAATGATAGGTTATCATTGCTATCTAGGTTATTATAACTGCCAAGGGGATTTACAAAATGTCGAATTTAGAGCATTGTGACATGTCAATTAGGAACTCTAGAATTTATTTATTTATTTTTTATTTTCCAGTGTACTTGTGTGTAGAATCAAAACTATAAACTATCAAAGTTATGTCCAAGATTAATCACAAGAAAAATTCTTATTTTTATCTCTTATTTAAAAAGCGGCTGTTTATGATATCAGAAAGCGTTATTAACTTTGTTAGCGTTTTTAAGAATTCATATATAATTTTCTTGAATACCGATTATGCTGTAACAAAGCATGTCGGACCTTTCTACTCTACAGCAGTTTTAAGATATTTTGTTAGGCGTTAATATAGGGCCCATTGTGGAACAATTCAGAATACTTACTTTCCACAGCTTCTTCGTGAGCACGATTTACCCAGTAATTGTCATCAACAAATTTGGCCATAACTGAAATACTTCTCGCACAAATCTTCAAATGTAGATAGATTTCGATACTGCAGTTTCCCAAACGAGAAACATTGAATAAACTTTCTTATCATTTCTATAAAGTTTGATTGTATCAGGTCCTTCCTGTAAATCTATTATTGCAGTTCCAAAATAAGTATCATTTCAGTAATATTTACACACAGGATGGATTATTTAAAAAAAAACCTAATCCATGTATTTATGTTGAATACACTCCAAAGTGATCACAAAATATTAAATATATTATCGAAAAACTGTCAATAATCTAGGCAAATTTCATATAATTTCATTAGACTTTGGACATTTCTAAGTTGTCCTATGAATTGAAAATATTCAGGTAATTATAATGTTCCACGTTTAAGAAGAAAGAAATGCGAAAGAAATATTCAAAAAATTGCAGACGGAGAAAGAAAAGTGGTAAACCTTGATCTTTCAATGTGTGGCCTCAGATAGCAATTTTTTTTTTAAGTAAAAGAATTTAATGACGAAAAGCTTAGAGAAAACAAAATTTATTTTTCGTAAACTTAGCAAAAACAGTCGTTTTCTGTAAACAGAAATATAAATTATGCATATATGCAATATCTTTTTTCAAACTGGAAGGTCACGTCGAAAAAAAAAATATCCAATGAAATGTCTTGTCGCAATGTAATTCTTCGTAAAAGTGGGTCAAATATTAAGGACAAGAGGTCAAATTTATGGGTACCCAACGACATGTCTTATTAGAAGAAATACAACTGTGAAATATGAATAGCATAACACCTACCCACAAAAGTTGTAGGCAGGGTTAAAATTCTTTTGACAAAGAGACTGAGAGAATGACAGACGGGAGGACAGAACAAAAACTATAAACCTTCGAAACTTTGATTAAGAGGGCATAAAAAAGTTTTTAAAAGTTAACCTAGTGAGGTCACCCGAGTAAACCCAGGTGACCTATTGCTATCCCTTTTCGTCTGTCATCGTGCGGTGTGCGTCGTGCGTTAACATTTGGACATTTTCAGCTTCTTCTCTGCAACTGCTCAACCAAATTCAACCAATCTTGGCATAAAGCATCTATGAGTAAAGGGGAACAAAAATTATGAATTTCATGGTCCCTGCCCTCCCCCCCCTCCCCCGGGACCTAATGGGTGGGGCCAAAACTACTTAATTTAGTGCAATCTTTAAAAATCATCTTCTTTACTCCTGGATATCAAGCAGTCAATCTGTTGACATGATTGCAATGAGCATTGAGTCCTCTACCAAAATTGTGAAATTCATGGCCCCAGGGTCAGGGGTTCTAGTGCTAGGGCGGGGCTATATAGATTATATAGTGAAAATTCATTATTATTTTGAAAATCTTCTTCTCTGCTTTTGGATATAAAAGGAACCAACTAAGTACATAGTTATGATGAGCAAGAGCTCCTCTTTCAAAATTGTAAAATTTGTGGCCCCAGGGTCAGGGATTTTGGTGTAAGGGCGGGGCTCTATTGATTATAAAAGTGAAAATGCATTGATTCTTAAAAAATCTTCTCTGCTTCTGGGTATTAAATTAACTAAGTACATAGTTATAATGAGCAAGAGTGCCTCTACCAAAATTGTGAATTTTATGGGCCCAGGGTCAGTGGTTCTGGTGTTAGGGCGGGGCCCTATTGATTACATATAGTGAAAAGGCATTAATTCTTTGAAAATCTTCTCTGCTTCTGGGTATTAAGTAAACTAAGTACATAGTTATTATGAGCAAGCGTGCCTCTAACAAAATTGTTAATTTGGCCCAAGGGTTCTGGTGTTAGGGCGGGGCTCAATTGATTATATAGTGAAAATGCATTAATTCTTTGAAAATCTTCTTCTCTGCTTCTGGGTTTTAAATAAACTAAGTACGCAGTTATGATGAACGTGAGTGTCCCTAGCAAAATTATGAATTTTATGGCCCAGAGTTAGGAGTTCTGATGTTAGGGCGGGGCTCTATTGATTTATCATATAGTGAAAATACAATAAATCTTTGTAACCAAACTAAGCAATTGCTAACTATATAGTTATGATGAGCAATGGTGCCTCTTTCAAAATTTGAATGCCATAGCCTCTAGCTTAAAACATGAACCAAATTCAATCATTTGAAAGTTGTTGCATGATGCTCAGGTGACCTATAAGGCCAATGGACTTTTTTTTTTTAAAAATGAAGTTTAATGCTGATCTCTGAAAATTTCAATTTTTCTTCTTCAGTTTTTGAATTCATATATGATTTACACCACTTCTAAAATATGTTGTAGAAAATTGCATCAGAGGTGTTTTCTTTAAGCTGAACACGACTCGTAAATAGGCATAAGCCATTTCGATGTCATTATTAACAATACCTCAACACCAGGGTATATATTTTAGATTCGTTACACCGTACTGCAATATTGTTACGGGTATTGGCGTGTAATGCGACGTGTTCGTGCTGGTTATCTTGCATTAGGTTTGTTTACATATTTTGCAGTTACATGTATCGGTACTGCACTGACCTGTACAACTTTAATTGTAAGTTTCTTTTGTATCTTCCTCTCCTGCATTAGACAACGTATTACTATAATTGTCGCTTCCGAGTGCTGTATAGCATACGTCCGTCTACACCAGATTACACTAAACAATGACCTGCCCTTTATATAGGGGTATGCAGACGTAGCTTAAACTTAATTATTTTTTCGATTTTCATCTTTAGAAAGTGAACTGTATGAATAAGTTTGATTTCTAGAAGTAGAATTAAACCAAGATCATCTAATATTTATAATAATGAGTCTAGCAAACAAAGACGATATGGTTATAAGAAATGTTGGATGGATCCCTAGCATATTTTCAATTTTGCTAAGTAGTAACAGTATTTTGAATTCAATGGTTTGCATAATGCAAAATTAGGAAGATTCTTATCATTATTTGATATCATCAACTTATGGTACCAAGATTGTCTGTTTTTTTTATATAAATGAATGATGGATTTTATTTTTTATTATGCTGCTTCATTATAAAACGTTTCGACAATTAATTATGTGCAAATCATACAAAAACATTTAAAAACTTTGAAAGCATTTTATCCTTTTATGTTATTAAATGAGGAACAGTTTGAAATGTGTAAGAGAAACCCTTGTCCCCCGCTTAGATATATGTCTGCAGTGTCACCAATGGCCCTATATTCTCTTGCATCTAATGCTGTGTCTTTCTTTTGTTTTTGTGTTGATCTATATCATCTTTGATGCAACAATTCTAAAACTGTTAAAGTACAAGTCTGAGAATTAAAAACACTAACTAGATCTAAATATCACATTTTATGCTTTAGCATTTACTGCACAATCTCCATACATTTTCAGTGTTATACGTGATCAATCGAATACGCTCACCTTTCATCATTATAAGAAATCAAGACTGTTGCCACGGGGTGTTGTTGAAGCCTGCAGTTGATTAAATTTGTCACGTGATCGGGATAGTCTACCCAAACACCACTGTTGTCCTGCCACTGCCAAGATAGACACGGACGTACGTGTGAATTATATGAAGAGACGGAGTTGTCTGTTGAGTGATGTTTCGAAATTAGTGCAGTGTTTATCTCCATTTCTGAATTTGTTTCCATCTGAACAGTATCTTTATTTGTTCCAGCTACACAAAATTCAGGATTTTTATGAGCATTGGTTGAAGTATTGATGCTAGGTTTTTCTTTGAAATGAACACAGTTATTTACAATCACAGAGGAATTCACAGTCAGGAGATTCTGATATTCTTCCGGACTTGAGGACCTATTGATATGGTCGGAACATTTAGATATACCTCCCACTGAGTTGCCTTCTAGACCAGTATCCTGTCCTTCATCAGTTTCCAGATCGTCCACTGAAACAGCTATGGGGGAGTGTTCTTTCTGCTTGTCTGTTGCATTGGTTCTATCATTACAAGCTACCTGTCCCCGTTGTAAAATCGGTTCATGTGATGTTTTTGTTGACTTTGCATCTGCCGCCTCTTGAAACACTGTACTTCGACCTTGATTTGATGTTTTACTCTGCCATGTTAGATTTCCTTTATTTTCCTGCATGATGCAATCACTCTGTTTAGTTGTGTTATGTGGTGTTTCCTTTATAGCAGATTTATCTGCAAAAGTCATGTAATTTATTATCAACCCTATAATTCTATCAATCAAAGGCATGTTGAGTTTGTAAGGGCAATATTGAGTTCTGTCGAAATACATAAAATCTTATTACAACGTAAATCTTCATTGAAACGATTGATGGATTGTATTTTTTTAACGTCCCTCTCGAGAATTTTTCACTAATATTGAGACGACACCTCCTGCCAGTGGAGAGCTACTATTTTTGTGCTTTACTCGGCACTCTGGTCATTGAGCAGTGAGGGGTTTTTAAGTGCTGGCACCTACTGCGATACGGGACCTAGGTTTATACGGTCTCATCCGAAGGACCGGTCTCCACTCTCACAGTGGGATTTGAATCCGCGACGAAAGGATCTACTCCTTTTTTCGCGACCTTAGAGCAGACGCTCTAGCCACTGCGCCATGCGGGAGAGCCATGAAAGAGAAGGAAAGAAAATAAAAAAAAAAATAGAGGAACCTTTTAAATCATTGGAGGCAACCATGTGTTCTGTAATTGTACCAGACTGGTTTGATGCATTCTGCTGTTCTCTTACGGTTTTTATCACCTCGGGTGAGAACGGATCGCTACAATACAAAAAGAAGTATCCTACTTATATACAATATATATAAATAGCCAGACACTGATTATTATAGACAATAAAGGCAAATGTAAAGTTTTACAAGATTTATTTTGTTGTTGGCGAACACAGCCACGACCATAGGGCTGCCGGATGATAGATTGGCAAGCCCTAAAATCATTATACATTACATTAAACATTACATTATATGCATCACATTAAACATTATGCCACATTAACAATTTGAGGGCTTATAGTTTTCACCACTGTCCCAACGTGGAGCCCTCAAGGATAACATTATGCATTATTCAAACATTGTGGCATCCATTGTTAATGAATATACGAGGGGTTATCAAAAAGTTCGTGGACTGAGGCTATAAAAGTAGTACTATGTAGTCTGAGCTTACAAAATTTTGAAGGAACATAAAACAATAAAAAATAAAGAAATGTTGAAAATTTTAGCTTCATATGTTCATTATTTCTCGAATTATTATGAAATAAAAACGATATTATATCACCACCCGGCGCTGTCGCCGTTTAGTTTTATGACGTCCGACAACGTCATTGTTTTTTCATTGTCTGCTTTTTCTACCTCATACACTATTTCTGATGAGATTCCATGGAGCTGAGGAAGGACTTCAATCCGTCTTGTTTATATGACTTTACAATGTCATGAACAGTGGCTTTCAATGCATATAATATTACAAATAAGATCTATACAATGGCAGAGATCCTCGCATGATTGTGCCTGCATATTTTGCTTTTTGGAGTTCATTATCTACAATACATTATAAATGTCATTTTTTGCCGTGATTGATTTTTCACACCTTGACTACAAATCGACATTAACTGTACATTCCTTTTCTCTCTGAATCTATTTTGACATTAAAAACAAGCAATCTGGATGCACATTATTTCTCCGTAGCTAGTTTAAACATTTCCTAGGTGTATACCATTTTTTTCTACGGGCAAAACGTTATAGAATGTTGGAAAAGGAAACCCCTCCCCCCTTTTGACGTCATTTTCAAGGCAATATTTGTTTGGATACTCCATGTAAAATTTATGATAAAATTTCATAGAACTTTCAGAATGAGGTAAAAATTTAACATTTTATGACACAATAGTGTCCCAACACATACCTGAATTAACAGGGTATTTGGATGTCAAATGTTCATATCACAATAGTTTTTCTTAGTTACACTTAGGTCGAAAAAAAAAACGTCGTTTTCGAGGTTGCGCCGCATGGACATACCATTGCTTACAAAAACATTGCTAATTTATTAAAAAATAAAATTTATAATTTGTGATTTATTCTATAGATAGAAAAGACAATGATAACTAGATATTTTAAAATTTATTCATGTATCTATAGCGGTTTTAATTTTATGGCGCTAGTCCACGAACTTTTTGATAGCCCCTCGTACATTATTTATTATGCATACATTATGTATTTCATCATTAAACATTATTCATTATGCATACATTATGCACTTCATCATTATACATTATGACATTATCATTATACATTATTGGCTTTATAATTGAGAAAGATAGACAAAATTATCTGGTACTGGGAACAGATACATGTACTCAGTATAATAATGCTATCAAATCTATGAAAGCCAAAAGCGTCGCGAAATATCGCCACATGGTTGTTCAAGCAAAGGGAGAATATACTATAAAAATAATTTTTAAAAAGTCTGTTACTATATGTTTATTGGGTATTATTTATTATAGGTATGTACTTAAAATAGATTACCATAGCTCAATGTCGTATTTTCCATCATATCCAAATCTGTAATTACCCATCCTTCCACTTGGCCATCGAATCTTAAATGTATTACATCTGCCATTATTTTTTTTCTTAACCTGAACATTTGGGTTTTTAGCAATTTTTAATGCTCCTAGTCCGATTAAAATCAAATTCAGTTTATTTACAATCAAAAAACCAAACAAAAAATCAAATATTTCTAAATCCAGTAAATATATTCAGTACTTTTTAAATCTTTGCTATGGTCGATATAGTGACCTTGTTAGGAAATATGAATAATCAATGAGTCGTATTTTGGCTGAGTTGTTTCATACGAATTGTTAGGCCTTTATTTTTATACTGGATTTGAATATGGAATGTTACGTCTACCTAGTCAATACATAGGGCTCACGGCAGGTGTGATCAGACGACAGGGGATGCTTTCTACTACTAGGCACCTGACTCCGCCACTGGAATTTCCAGAGGTCAGTGTTTTACATACGTGTATTACTGTACATAACTAGATTTTCGTGACACCTAATTTTTGGCGAGAAAGTCATTGAATCTTGATGAACGAGACAAAATTTTCATGAATTCTGGTTATTGCTCCATATAATTCTAAGGAATGCTATTAAACGCGAAAAATAAATTTTTGCTAGCAAACTGTCTCCCGTAATTACGCGGAAATAAAGTTCTCGCGAATAAAATGTGATTTACAATATGTACAGATCAATCACTACATGTTTATTATATCTGCACCTTTTACATTGGAGCCTTCATTTCCAGACCAAAAGTAAAGCTCAGACTCTTCACATTTGAAAGTATATTAATATATAAATTACTTATATAGATTTTATTTATATATATGAATCAGAACTAACATAAACGGTGGCATTATCCATCACTCGATAACATGTCCCGATAGCTTGTTCTCCGCCGTCCTGATCTTCCCACTTCCAGTCGAGACCTTATTAGAAAATGAATGTTACATCACACGTATGCGCTTTTTAAATGTTATAAAATCGTCTCTTTACATAAAGATAAAAAGATAAATTGAACATGTCAAATACATCAAAATTAAATACCTCTCTTAACAAAACAACCAACAGCGACCAATCCATCAAGAGGGATCCTTGGTTCCTCACAAACCACCACATCGTACATGTCTCTCATTCCATAGTTGTACACACAGCGCTCTCCATTATCCCACTCTACCAGTACCAGTCCCGCTAGGGATGATAAAGACAAAGTCTCCTCTTATAAAAGGAGCTCTCTCTACATGACAAATGTCCCATTTGTTCAACCCTCAAAATCGTTACAATAAGAGGCTGTAAGAGGTATTCTAGCGGGTGCTAGATTGAAAATTGAAAATGAAAATATGGATATGACGAACTGTATTCAAGATCAAAAGTCCACAAAATAATACAAAATAGGAGCAGAACAAACACGGACCTCCAATACAGAAGAAGTGGAATCAAGTGCCATGGAGAGTAAGCATCCCCTGTCGACCGTTGACACCCACCATGTGTTCCTTGTCAGTATCGGGAAATAATGGAAAAATCCGTCGTCAATTCAGTGTATATAAATAATGGACTAACGATAAGTATGGAAAACGTCAGTCAGCAATTGATTCAATGATTAACTGTATTTGCTACAAGGGCAATGTACCGACCAAAGAACTTAGGAAATGATTACTTTGAACGAGACTGCTGATATTCTTGTTTCATCAACTTGTTTGTCAATAATTTACCTCGTTTTAGAAACTGTTCATACGCAGAGCATACTCAATACCGTAAATCTGGAAATTTTTGCTGTAGATAAATTTTTAGCAAATTTGCGAGTTCATTGCATTCGCAAAAATATTTTTCTTAAAAATAAATTACCAATAGGAAAATGTAAACAAAGTAGTGGTAATTCGCAAAATTTTGAATCGTAAAAATTAATAAACTCCATTTTGACCCGATTTCGCAAAATAAAATCGACGTAAACATTTCCAGATTTACGGTAGTATCGAATCAATCGAGATATATAAACTCCGTATGCAGGAGATGAAGAAATATTGCTGAATAAGTAAGGGAAGTTGATGATAGTAAAGTAAAAGTCATCAAGTTAATCATTGAGTTTGGTTGTTAGATTACAATTAACGTCTTTATCAATTAAAATATCCAAATATGAAACAGATGTCTCAGACTCTGTGGTATTTTTTTTTATTTCAAGCTCACCGGGATATATAGTATGGAATAGAAACTACCATTGTTAATTGATAAGAGGTCGTTGATATGTCTAAAAGTCGAGTTGAAGGCCACAACAAGTGTTTTACTCTTTTCATGTATAAAAGTTTGCACTAATTCTGCTGCATATGAATACAAAATAGGTCTGTTAATAACGGGGCGCTGTTGGTACCCATGGGAATTCCAATAGATTGTTCGAAGACATGGTCTCCAAAAACAACATAGATATTGTCAATCAGAAACTCAAGCATCTTTTTGATGTCAACTTCAGAATACTTGTGTTTTAAATCAGAATGTTTTTAACAAAATAATTTTGCAAATGACCAATGAAAATGTAAGTACGTGTAAATAGACGAGTTTAATTCTTAGAGAAAAAGCAGCTGTCAATGATTAATAAATATCAAATTTGTTTTATTAAGAAACAAGTCTATACAACTCTTACCCACCTTTATCCCCATGGCCCACTATGGTTCCGATGCCCTCGCTATCCTGGTTTTGATAACTCCAGTGGGGGCCCCGGCGAACTCTCGTACCGAGCCTAGGAATTGCAGAGTATTTCTCCTTATACCATTTTTCATCATCGTCTTCAATTCTTTGCTGGGTGTCCATAATTCTCTCTTTGTTCCGTATTAATTCGTATATTGCACCCTTTGTAAATGATACATGTATTCAATTTACATAATATCCTTTCAAAAATCTTATCCATTGGTATGTGGTTCTTTCTCCAAGTCTCTACGTGCGTAAGTATGTCTGTAAGGGTACGGTGTGCCAGGGTGTGTGTGGTGTGTGTATGGTAATGGTAATGGTGGGGTACATGTATATTTTTACGTATTGTTTCCTAACTATTTTAAATTCCAGCGTCAAGAGATCAAAGCTATTGATCCCCTAAAACAGATACACGTGTGGAGTGTCATAGCCTTTGTACCAAGGGTCAGAAAAGGTAAAAAAAAAAAAAAAATAATGGTACCAAAGAAAAAAATGCTCTTAAAATCAGTAAAAAGTAAAAGTCTAAATGTTAATTTAATATCCAAGGTGAACGACATGAAATAAAAATAAAAAATACTATTAAAGATAAGTCTTTTTACAAGGGATACACACGTGATATACATGTATGTCTATACATGTGTATGCAAGAAATTTCTCAAATTTTTAATTACATAAAAAATATTTTATCAAAAGCTAGACAAGATTTTTTATCGAGAGGTGCTATGCGATTGAAATCTAATTATACAGTGCAGTTTAAGGACATCATCTTATACTTAATGAGTATATATTAGAAGAGTAAGTATGAACGCTTGTTTGAGTTTATTTTCAATTTTATTAATTTCTTTATATAGATTTACACATACTAGTGTTGGCAACGAGTACCCGGTTAACCGGTTAACCGTCGAACGATGCGAGTATCGGTTAGTAAAACTGCTATTCGGTTACTCGGATAAAATGCATCTTATATGGTAAATAACTAAAAAATAAAATGTTAATTTGTTTATAAGCGTACAAATAAACATTTCTCTAATTTTCTTTACCGTTAGACTTAATGATCTATGGTTTCACTAATACGATTGATTGGTTTTCACACTTAATTGATAGCTTAATTGGATTGCCAGCAGGTTATACAAGTTTTGAAGACCCAAGTTATAATTCCCTCATTAAATGATTTAAAAAGATGCCGCCAAAGACATGTATAACTTGGAAGTATTTTAAAAGAACAGCTGATTCTATACCTGTAAAATGTAATTAATGTGAATTGGAGTTATCGTGACTTCAAATTTCTTAATAATTATTCTCCTTGATCGTGACATATATCGGGGGTTGAAAAGTTAAACTGATGAACGCCATTGTAAAATAGCGTGAAACATTGCATATTTATTTTTCTTCTGATTTAATTAATTTTTTGATTATAATTATATTCAAAATTCAAGATATTGCGTGCATGTTCTTTATAAGTTTATAAATAAAGTTAATTCACAATACCTTTGTGTTTTATTAGAACCGATGAGTAAAAGATGAGATAAATGATACATATGAATAAATGATCCGAGTAACCGGGTACTCGATCGGAAGATTGAGCGAGTAACCGGTTACTAAAAATCGTCCGATTTGCCAACACTAACACATACGTAACAAAATTTCTTTTAAATTCTTTCTGAAGAGGTATAGTGGGGACATGACATTTGAATCAATTTCGTGGCGGATCCAATATAGGATGTATTTGTATGGGGTTTTTTGTTTACATTCGCATAATATTGCGTAAGAGCATTGATCAAGATAGCTAATGTAATTATACGTTTGAAATTTTCCATAAAGAGACAATGAATTAGATTAATTTGTCAGTATTGTCAAAATGATTCTGCTCTTATTTTAAATTGTATTATCAACTTATCTGAATTGATATTTATTAAGAAAAATACTATGATCTTGTAAACATACCAAATCGTCTTCATCATATGTCTGCCATTCCAGTAGAGATTCAGCCACCGATCTCAAATTCCCTCTTTCTATTTCATCCTTATTTGTTACTTTGGATATCAAATCTGCTGAGTGCTGTAAAATATCGAAAGCGCTGATAAGTAAATAATTATTATTAAAAGAATAGAACAATAAAAAATGATTGTTGATGTAACATCAATTACGTAATGGATGGTATATCGTCCAAAACACTTTGCTTCATAAATCTCCAAAACTTTGCCTCCATTAGAAACACTCGATATAGTTTGCAATAAAGCCTGGAATTAATACAGTTGTGATTAAATACATAAATAAAAAAAATATTCTTTGACATTTCAAAGTTTTTAAAATTTACGTAAAATTATCATCTGAAGAATGAATTACCCTCATTTCTATTGATAACTAATTTTGAATATGATTCCATTTGAAATAATATTTATGTAATTGTTATTGAACGAAACAGGTATAATGTTATTGTGTTATACATTAAATGGCTTACGTAATTGGGGTTTTCTCCGACTGGGAAACAGAAAATCGGATGATCTCTTCCAATTCGTTGTAAAATCGCAAAAAATGGTCTTAATATCTATTAAATTAAATGACTTAAATTTTGTATTCTATTCATATTTATATTATTTTCTTAATTGTAAAATATTTCATCAGTCGAACTTGCGAGACTATAATGATTACACGCTCATTAGGTATTAGATCCACATCACTGTCGGTAGCGCATGAATCTGTGAAGTCTGTAATTCGGCCATCTGTAAATAGTACCACTCTGGGATGGAGAAGGAAGTCACCAACTTTGCTAGTATGGGCTGTAAAGGGTAAATTAGAAAAATGTCATGAAAATTTTATTTTATTCTTTCTCAGGTAGAAAAGTTTCTTAAACCACGGTCAAAATTGCAGTAAAATTTAAAAAAAAAACCCATAAATTGTTATGACAAACATCTATTTAAACTTCAGTAATTATCTTTGGTGACATAAAATTGATTATAATAACCAGCTTATTTAATTCATCGGAGAAGCCTTTCCTTACCTGCTCCTTCCAACAGTCCCCCGAGGGCCAAGATAAAGGCGGCTGTGAGTGGTGAGGGTCCACCACATTCTACCTCCTCTGTAAGAATGACTAACAAGTGGTAGGTTTTTGTTAACTAGTCAAGAAACTAATACTACGTATCTTAAAAACCCAATGATGGGCAAAACGACACAATGTTTCAGATTATTAATTCTTTAATATAATTTGAAGTTAATAAACATAATCATCATATTCATTATTTTTATATAATATTTTCCCGTTATTTTCCGATGATGACTTGGAGCATGCGGTGGGTTTGACCAGTCGGTTAAGGATGTTCACTCCTCCTTGGCACCTGATCCCACCTCTGCGGTGTTAGAGGTCCATGTTTGCTCTGCATCTGATTTCTATTGTTTGAATTGTTTTTTTTTTGCGCTTGTATGCTGCTAGTTATTTCCATATATTTCACATAAAAAATTGCATAATTAAGCCCATATGAAATTCTAGTAACTAACAAAGCCAGGGCTTCCCCCGTCTGAGTCAGTGACTATAGCCAATCTCCACTTCTACACTACCACAAAAAGAAATAATAAGGACTGTTTTACAATTCATTGTTGGAGAAAAAAATACAAATAAAAATTATATTACCTATGTTTTGTTTGATTGCCAAATATTGGTTTGAGTAATACTGCAGGAATTTTGTTTCTTGTCCCATCACTATAACTGAGACATTTTCACCCATACCCGGGTGTTGATAGAACTCTGTAAAGGGAATTAAAATACCAGCATTATTACACATCAAATTGTACATTATCACAATGCTCCCACACCCAATATTAATTGACCCACCATCTAGTATCGCGAAGACTCCCCTTTTCATTTCTATCAGAGGTTCCCCCCTCATGCTTTCTGAACAGTCCAGAATGAAGAGAACACAACTTCCGCTTCCTCTGCCCCTCTGATGTCTACCAGACCTCTCTACAATACCAAAATGATGGCTACTTCCATCCATGAAGATCATCCGAGAATAACAATAACAATTCAATCCTAGCTGAAACAAAGCTGCGGTATATCGTAAGAAAGCTAAATAAAAAAAACAAATACATAAATGACTTACGTTTTCCAGCTTCTAACTTGGCCTGTGAAAGCCACATGTTTTCATATATAGCAGTTTCCGTGTCCTAAAAATAGGGATTGGTACATTCTAACATGATCAAAAATTATTATCAGAAGCTGATTACTGGAATAAATACTCCTCATAAAATAAAAGATGAAATCACAAACCTTCATCATTTCTGCTGTTAATTCAAAGTACCCTATACACAATTGAGGTAAAACAAAACAGGAAGATTTAATATATCATATTACTTATACAAATATGGAACTACAGGAAGGAAATTGACAGTAACAGAAATAACATTGCTTGATTTAAACTATATTTATAAACATTTTTCAAACAGTTCTGTTGTAAATTTTATTGTGGGCACCATTTGATGAAGAGAAAGATTTATTGATAAAATATTTTGGTTATGACTGGTAAATAATTTATTGAACATACATTCAACAATGTAACCGTTAAAATGAAAGCTGCTATTTGTACGAGGGTCGTTCAAAAAGTTCGTAGACTTTTGTCCTAACTTTTTTATTTAACGTCATATTATATCCAAATTTGGTAAAAATATTTTAACAACAGATTCAAATAATTTGAGTAAAAAAAATTGGAATGTATCTTCCTATTTATCAAAATTACCGAGGATTTAGAACAGCAAAAATGGGGTCGCGGAGCACCGTCAAAATTGAGTAATTAACTAATTTCCACTTTATAGTATTTACAGCCATACCTTTAATAAATGGAGCTGAAATGAAATAAAATTTACATGTTTAAATAAAGTATTGCTGTATTAATTAGAAATTAAATCAAGTTATGTAATATGTCGCTCCATTTAAAGGATATCAGTTTCTAAATACATATGGACTTGATCAAAAAAAGCAAAAAACCATGACGTTGGAGGACGTCACGGAGCAGCATGTAGCAATAAATCGTACTTTACATTCGGGAAACTTCTTCTACAAGCTTAAAAATCCGTATAAACCAGGATCTGTATGAAACATAATCTTTGTATTAATTTTGTATTAAATGGAAAATACAATTTTTGAGTGGTAGCTAGTTTGAATCGGACGATGGATTGTCTGCAAAGACACAAGTTAAAGTTAAAAATATTGTCGAAAGATTAAGGAACGTCGTTGAACGTGTTGTGTGCTTTACTGTTGCAGAATTAATAGAGTTACATGTTAAATTAAAGAATTTGAAAACATGACATTCTTATTCAAGCTATATTTGTACAATTGTTCGCAAACTAGGTTTTAAGTGTTATGGATATGTTTTTTTCAATGGAGAAGACGTGTTTGAAATTAAGAAAATTAGTTGAATTTTGACAAACTTTCTCAACGTTGTCTTTGACGTTACATTGTTGGTTAACCGTGCTCCGTGGTAACAAAACGTGTTGTTTTGACTAACATGAGTTCTATTTAATCAAATGGAATGAAACTTAACACTTCGACAAAATAAATGTTTATGTTTACGAAAATGTGTTGATCTATAATCTTGTAGTAATCAAATGGCGATGAGAAGCATTGTCTACGTATTTTTTGAATGACCCTCGTACTATGACGTTTAATTTTTCAGAGTTTATCGTAAATGCATTTAAAACAAAGACCAATATATTGACGATAAGGTTTAAATCATATGAATTTTAAAGCACTCTGAAAAAGAGGGTGTTACCCTCTATTTGTATACATACGATGATTATCATGATAGAAATGATATCCTAATAATATCCAAGAACTGCCGTGTTCAAAATAATTTTTAATCATAAAATTTCTTAGACTGAATAATTTTAAAGTCTGTGTCCATCCTGATTTCGGAAGCATGTGCAGGTTACAACCCACTAGAATAATCTAATGGAAATGAACAAAATTAAAAAATAACTTTAGGGCAATTTGCAGCATAGATTTGTAAAGGAAGGATACTCATATTTTGCAGAGCACTAACTGATAAAATAAACACACAATGCTTAAAAATATCAAGAGAACTTCAGAAATAGTTTTTCAAGTAGCTAATGGAATCAAGAATATCTTAATATTGCTTGATTTCACAGAAATTGTCAAACTGCAGTCATTTATCCACGTAACTTCCGCCTCCGAGACATCTGATGTCGGTGACGTGTCGTGTTTTGATATCAATCCTCTTCATCTTGGATAATACTATCCTATACCTAAAAGATAGACAAAGGAAAAGAAAATAATACTATCCTATACCTAAAAGATAGACAAAGGAACAGAAAATAGTACTATCCTATACCTAAAAGATATGATACTATCCTATGCCTAAAAGATATACAAGGAACAGAAAAATAATACTATCCTATACCTAAAAGATAGACAAAGGAACAGAAAAATAGTACTATCCTATCCCTAAAAGATATGATACTATCCTATGCCTAAAAGATATACAAAGGAACAGAAAATAATACTATCCTATACCTAAAAGATAGACAAAGGAAAAGAAAATAATACTATCCTATACCTAAAAGATAGACAAAGAAACAGAAAATAGTACTATCCTATACCTAAAAGATATGATACTATCCTATGCCTAAAAGATATACAAAGGAACAGAAAATAATACTATCCTATACCTAAAAGATAGACAAAGGAACAGAAAAATAGTACTATCCTATACCTAAAAGATATGATACTATCCTATGCCTAAAAGATATACAAAGGAACAGAAAATAATACTATCCTATACCTAAAAGATAGACAAAGGAAAAGAAAATAATACTATCCTATACCTAAAAGGTAGACAAAGAAATAGAAAATAGTACTATCCTATACCTAAAAGATATGATACTATCCTATGCCTAAAAGATATACAAAGGAACAGAAAATAATACTATCCTATACCTAAAAGATAGACAAAGGAACAGAAAATAATACTATCCTATACCTAAAAGGTAGACAAAGGAACAGAAAAATAGTACTATTCTATACCTAAAGATATACAAAGGAACAGAAAATAATACTATCCTATCCCTAAAGGATTTACAAAGGAACAGAAAAATTATACTATCCTTTACCTAAAAGATAGGCAAAGGAACAGAAAATAATACTATCCTATGCCTAAAAGATATTATACTATCCTATGCCTAAAAGATATACAAAGGAACAGAAAAAATATTACTATCCTATGCCTAAAAGATAGACAAAGGAACAGAAAAAAAATACTATCCTATACCTAAAAGATAGACCAAGGAACAGAAAAATAATACTATCCTATACCTAAAAGATAGACAAAGGAACAGAAAAATAATACTATCCTATAGCTAAAAGATATACAAAGGAACAGAAAAATAATACTATCCTATACCTAAAAGATATACAAAGGAACAGAAAATAATACTATCCTATACCTAAAAGATAGGCAAAGGAACAGGAAAATTAGAATGCTACTGGATATTAAAGTTGAAAATTGACTATAACATTTACAATTCAAAGATATGTTTAAAACGTTTATAATTCTATATGACAATTTTTCAAAATTAATAATGATATAATTTCAAAGAGGAATGGGTGATAAAATATGCACAGCAAAACTTCTGACTGGAAGACTAAATAAACAATTTATGAGATTTGGATGTACAAAGTAATATAAAACTTGCTGTTGCCGCCTTGTAGTGTAATTAAGATATTAACTACAAAGGAAAAAAAGAATAGCAGCATCCAAAGAAACAAGTTGTCGAATATTAACACATAAAAAATAAGAAAGTTTTTCGAAAATAAGGTCTAACTCAAACGTCAGAATCAAACGATTAAAATAATGTGTACTCAGGGAATGAAGATCTTGTCACGAGGAATGTGAAAATGGAACCCCGAGGGCTTTTAAATAGAAAAGTTTTGGCCAAAGTTATTTTTTTTCAAAAGTTAGTTAAACTCCAAAGTGAAGGCCAGAGAGTCAGAATTGTTGATACCTAAGGAATGTTTTTGTCCGACAGAAAATATATTGGATATTTGAAAGCCCTCATACCTACTATTCAAAATTAAACTCCAAGGTCAAAGATTTTAAAAAGTTAACCAAACTCATACGTCATTTTCAAAGGGTCAAAACTGTTGGCATTAAAGGAACAGTTTTGACAAAAGGAATACATCTTTGAAAGTCCTAACATAAAGTTAAACTATTCAAAAAGTGAGAATGTTTCTTACAGCGAGTCCTGGATGTTAAACAACACTGTGGCTCTATTATTCTTTTTGTAATTTGTATCGATCTTTTGACTCATTTCTTTGGGGAAGTTTTTCCAATGGCCGTCCTCGCCTTTAAATTGCCAAATATCTTGAGCAGCAGAATCGGTTTCCAATTCACCATCATAATCTTCACCAATAGATTCAGAGCGAGAAATGTCTGAAGCATCATATTTTGAAACAGCACTTGTACTTCTATTTGAAGGAGATGAAGTTGGTTCCTTCACGAAGGAATTTCTTGCAGTAGGACAGTTGCATTCGGAATTCCTAGATATCCCTTCAGTCGCTTAAAGGAAAACTACATGATTATTTTAAGATAAGAACAGGAGGAAATTAGAAATAAAATGAGTCCCAAATATAACATGCTTTGCAGACAACCCTTTTATAGAAAGCAAATCAAGCGGTCACAAAACAATAAAAATTACATTTTAAATTGTTGATCTCTCCATCTGTTTTAGATGACAGCATTTCAGCAGCTGCAACTTTTTGTTGTTGCAATCTCTTGACTACATCCGGGTGAAATGGGTCACTAAAAATAAGGGGCTCAAGATCCACAAAGCTTACCTTTAGTCACTTATGGTCCTGCTCTTCTTCACAACAATTTTGTTTTGGAAAAATGCTCTCTTTTAATTGTGTTTAAAACATTACTCCCTAATATAGACATTTATCAAAATTTCGATTTATTCTAAGTTGAAATTTCTAATGTAGTCTCAACCAAATCTCTGGCATCTGATCTTAAAGATTTATCTAAGGAAACCGAAAATGTTTACGTATTAATATTACTAATCACAACTTGGTGTTCTTGAAAGGAAGATTTTCATCAGATTTTACAATGTATTTACTTGTGTAAAATTTAGGTCCCCAGTATCATTATGACTAAACATGGCTTTCCAACAATTTCTGCATTGAACCTGATAGTACCTCTGATACTTGTAGAGGTCGGTGTTTTTAAATAATGCCATTATTTTTTTTATTCGTTCTTGATTATATCTCCTTTAAAAGGGCTTTGTCTCTTCATTTAAAAAGGAGCTAAATTGCCTTTTCTCTACCATACTTTCTGGAAAGCTTGGATTCATCTGAACCAGTATTTTTTTTGAAAAGAGGTCAAAAATCTGAAAATCTGTATTTACAGACTGAAAGACACCGAACAAAATATGATCAGGAAAGCCCAGGAGCTTTCAGCAAAATGAGGTAAGAAAAGAAAACAAATAAAATCATAATCAATAATATAAAAATAAATAGAAGATATACTTTACAACTTTGACGAAAAAACACGTACCAAAGTTGAACATCAAATTTTCCATCAAAACCAAATCTGTAATTACTTTTATTGGAATTTGGCCATCTTACCTGAAATATTGATGAATGAAATCAGGCTTCATAATGTAAATTGTTGCTGAATAAATCAATGCTTGAAAATAAGTACGTAAACAATGACGTTGTGTTTCACTTTATACACGACACCAATAGTTCCTTTTCCGCCATCTTGATTTTCCCAACTCCAGTCTTCGCCTTTCCAGAAAAATTATGAATAAATTAATAAATGATGAATATCTTAATATAACATTTTTAATGTGAAAAAATATAATTAGTAAAAAATATTTTTGGTGGAAAGAAAGTTTTTACCTCTTTCAACAAGACATCCTACATCAATGAGGTCGTTGTGTAGAATTCTAGGTTCATCACATTCAACCAGATCAAAGTTTTCAAAGAGGCCATTGCTACCATATCGATATGTATAACTTGACCCTGCATCCCATACCACGCGTAACCAGCCATCTAAGAAGAGACAATATCAAGTAATAAACAACCTATCATTTCGTAAATTTGCATGCATTTGAAAACTGGAGTTTAATGTTAACATATGTTGCTCGATCTAACAGAAGTAAAAAAAGAATGATGAAAGGATTCGAAGAGGTGAGAATAATGTAAGAATCCTCAACAATACACCTTTTCAAAATGTTATTTAATTGTGCTTCTAATACAGTGAAGGATATGGAGATAACACACAGTATTCAACATCAAAGTCCATAAAACAATACAAAATAGGAGCAGAGCAAGCACGGACCTCCTAAACATGAGAGGTGGGATCTGGTGCCATGGAGGAGTGAGCATCCCCTGCCTACCGGCCACACTCGCCGTGCCTTCCCTGCCATGATCGGAAACAACGGAAAAATCCGTAGTCAATTTAGTGTATAAATAATGGACTAACAATTAGTAGGAAAAACGTCATTCAGCATTTGACTCAATGATACAGAAATACGCACGCTAACTCTCGATTCCCGCCTACATTTTAGAACCATCTAATTCAATATAAGTAGCAATTTGGCCATAAAATCTTTGTTTAATACAAAGAACATTTCAATGGTAATTAATGAATTGTCTTAATACCAGCGCTAATCAGTAAATTATCTATAATTCCAGCTCTTGAAAAAAAAGGGGGGGGGGGGTAGACGATATTTTCCATTGAAATCGAAGTTTCAAGCATCACCATATTTTGAAATAGTCTTGAATATGATAAGATATTCCTTAAATCTTTTCTTCTGTTTTAGGCAAATAAATAAAACATAAATATATCAATAAAATATGATGTTTCAGATGTAAATCGCTTGAAATTGGTGGAAATTAAGCATTTTTATCGTTTTTGTCAATAAACATGTCTCTTAAAAATTCATCGAATATGTTAACTTTTGAAAATTGACTTGGAGGTAGGCTGGAGAACAATACTATTGTTTGCAATTCTTTATTAGCTGACAAGGTCATTGTATCGACCATAGAACGTACAAAATGATTAATTTAAACGAGACTGGTTATTTGGGGGGAAATTTTGTTACAAATCTCCATAAAGGTGTTTTGAACTACATGTATGTCATTTTATCATGCTCATAAAAATTATGTACATGGCATTGGTTCATTGTGCATTATTGGAGACAATGTCGTCGGTAGAGAAATTAATTGCAATTAATCTGATAAGATATTTTTTGTCGTTGGCATTTTCAAACTTACTTTGTGATAACCATATTGATTCTAAAACACAAATACTCCGAGATTGATAGGAAAATTATGCTTTTTTGTATAATTAACATCTTTTAAGTGCTCTTTTGAGACTAGGTATTTCAGTTTTCTGTTGGAATTTCCACTGTATTGGTTTGTCCCTTAACTAACAGACCTGTTCTTGTATCATTTACAAGAATTCTTTAATGGACTTAAATTGTATGCCTCGTTACTGTCATGGTGGACAATGACAAATCTGGCGTCTCACATAAACTTACGTTTTCCGTTGTCATTGTGGTTAACAACAGTCCCTGGACCGTGACAGTCCTGGTCCCCCCACTTCCAGTCAGGTCCTCGACGTACTCTTGTACCTACCGGGGGCATCTGTGGGTTAAATTCACAATTTTCATCATCGTCTTCTTCATCGTCCTCTCCATGCCTGTGTTTGTATGTCCCTCTTGCATTTATAATTTCTAATACGTCATCCTAGATAGTAACAAAGTTTGTTCATTTTTAAAAAATAAATTTACAAAGGACTAGAACTAACACTTAACTGTATTGAGCATTATACAAAATCTATCATATTTGATATTTACCTTATCCTCCTCTGTTAATTGATTGATTAATCCAGTAGAAGTCATGGCTTGTTCTACATCTTCATGAGAAAAATTGTCCTTTCGTATATTTTGTAAAACCTCAGCTGCTTTTCTCTGAAATTACAATTTACCAGTGAGCTGCATCAAACTATATTATATACATTTTCACATTTTTTATGTTCTGCTTTTCAATTTGTAAGGGAGGTAGATATTTTTTTAAATTTTGAAATCGGGGGAGAGGATGTTGTGGTGAAGACCATTACATATTGGTGAACTTTTCATTTCTTCTTCACTGACCATGTTTAAGTGAAATCTCCCGTACTGTCTGGCTTGTTGGGGCTGTATAAGTTTACCTCCCCGCGACGTGTACGCAATTGATCCCAGGAGACACTGTAGAAACAAAAAATAACAACTTTGATTAAATCTTTGGTAAAAGAAGAAGAAATACAGCGTGTTGTATTTTAAAATTGCCTAGGTCACTAAGGTGTCTGCAACCATGTATATTTTGTCGAAAACTTTTTAACATGTTTCATTTCATTAATCCCTGGATATACTGTAGATTCCTTATTTTTGCGAGTACTTATTATCGCGAATGAGCTCTTTCGCGAATGGAGGGTTGGTCAAGAGATTTAACATAGATTTCAGCACCATAAAAATAAAGGCGAGTAATTTTATTTCGCGTGTGGTGCTTTTCGCGAAATTACACGATAATTAATTCCACGCGTATATTTAGGAATCTACAGTATACAAAAATGACGTTTTGACGGTCATGTCTACTTGTAAATGAAATATAAATAGACAATAGACAAAAATACCTTAAATCTAATGTTATCTAATTGTCAATTAGTTTCCAGTATATCCCCTGACTTACAATATCAGGATCCTCTCCCACAGGGATACAGTTTAAAGGTATGACTCGTCCAATATCTCCAATAAGGTTCATTAAAGATTTTCTTGTCTGTAATCATCAAAAATATATATACAGTGTAAAGTATTTCAGCATAAAAATTTATACATGTATATGCAGAAAAATGTCATTAGACATTATCCAGACATAATAAGTATTTATATGCTTTATTTGATTGTTAGAAACTTATGAAATTTTTTAATCAAAGAAGAATTTATATATCATTTAAACCTCTACTGGGTCCATCAAATCTTCGTCCTCCTCTCCCCCTATCATGTCTGATGTCGTGGACTTTCCATCGGTAATCAGTATAAGCTTAGCTACCACTCGGAACATCCCTATCCCTGTAGTGTATCCTGACAAAATGATCTTTTATAACTGATTATGATAGTGAGCGATAAACACAACTTCTGATAAGGACCTTTAAGGAAATTTTGTTTACAAATTGATTCAGTCGGCAGGAGATGCTCACTCCTCCATGGCACTTGATACAACCTGATGTTCTGGAGGTCCGTGTTTGCTCTCCTCCTATTTTTGTATTGTTTTATGGACTTTGATGGTGCGTACAGTTCGTTATCTCCATATCCTTCATTAATTTCAAAAACAGAAACCTTTGCTTACCTCCACCAAAAGCCAACCCCGATAGACAGAGAGTAATGGCCGCCTGAATGGGAGAAGCACCCCGACAGACCACGTCATCTATCATCGTCAAGCATAATATGTAGAAAATATAACAAGATTAAACGAAAACTGAGACAAAAAAGAATAAATTAGAGGCAATAGCATTGTTTACCTAGACATCTTTTCAGTGATTGGTAGTTATTGGAGTAATAATGACAAAACTTGACTTCCTCTCCAAAAGTAACGACGGCAACAGTTTCATCCATGCGGTTTTTGGCGTATTCTTTGTAAAGAAATTTTAACCGTTCAGTCTGTATACCGGTTATTTAAAGGTTTATTTATTTAAGATTCTGTGCTTTTATGTTTGATTTTGATGCTTTACCGTCTATGATGTCAATAAAAGCCGTCTTCATCTGTTGGAAGGCTTCCCCCGCCATACTTCCTGACGTGTCTAAAGCAAACATCACACACGGTCCCTTTCCTTGCTGGTATTTTAATTTCCTGTCTGCAAAAATAAATAAATGTTTAAAACTTAGGTGGAGTAAGTAACCTTTATATTGATAAGGTAAGCCATTATTCCGTAGTCAGATACAGTATAAAAACAAAGACCCAAAATACGACCCAATGTTAATTTATCATTGCTATATAGCTTAGTATAAAAACGAAGGGAATTTAGAAAATGTCGAATTTAAAGCACAGTGACATGTTGTCAAATAGGAATTCCAGAATTTATTTTTCCAGAGTACTTGTTTGTAGAATCAAAACTGTAAACTAACTAAGTAATCTCAAAAAACAATCATAAAAAAATCCTGAATTTCATTTCTTATTTAAAAAGCGGCTGTCTAAGATATAAAGTGTTACTAACCTTGTTAGGGTTTTTTAAGAATTCGTGTAACAAAGCATATCATACCTTTCTACTTTAAAGCGCAGTTACAATTGATTTTAGGAGTCAGCATAGGGGCCTGGTAGAGCGATCCAGAATACTTACTTTCCACAGCTTCTTCGTGAGCACGATTAACCCAGTAATTGTCATCGACAAATTTAGCCATCATTGAAATAATTCTCACACAAATCCTCAAATGCAGAAAGTAAGATTGTCCTTGATTACTGAAGTTTCCCAAATAAAAAAAAAACATTGAATAAACTTCCTTATCATTTCTATAAACTTTTATTGTATCAAGTTCTTCCTGTAAATCTATTATTGCAGTTCCAAAATAAGTATCATTTCATTGAAATTTACGCACAGGATGGATTATAAAAAAAATCCTAATACATGTATTAATGTTGAATACACTCCAAAGTGATTAAAAGATATGCAACATATTATCGAAAAACTGTCAATAATCTAGGCAAATCATATATAGTTTCATTAGACTTTTGGAATTTCTAAGTTGTCTTATGAAATGAAAATATTCAGGAAATTATCTATGTCCCACGTTTAAGAAGAAAAGAAAGAGAGAGAAGAATTTTAAAAAATTCAGAGGGAGAAAGACAAGAGGTAGGCCTTGATCTTTTAATTTGTGGCCTCAAATAGCAGGGTTTTTTAAAATGTTTTGTAAACTTAGCAAAAACAGTCGTTTTCTGTAAACAGAAATATATGTTATGTAAATAAGCAATATATTTTTTGCTTATACCTCTGACAAAATCTTCTGCGTGAAAAGAGGAAGGTTCGATCTTGCTTTGGCCTTAAACTCGACACTTACATATATCGACGACGTATTCTCAATTAAGAATGGTAATTTCCATTAATGGTTCTAACTACCAAGCCCTATGATAAATGTGATCACTTTAACTTTTCAATAATCAACTTCCCTTACTTAAGCAGCAATATACCTTCATCACCTATAAACCGAATTTATATATCAGTTAATTCGATACGCAAGGACATACTCTATGTATTAACAATTTCTAAAAAGAAGCAAATTATTGACAGGCAAGTTGATGAAACAAGATTATCAGCAACCTCGTTTAAAGTCATCATTTCGTAAGTTCTATGGTGATTTTCCCATTATTTCCCGATCATGACTAGGAGACACGGCGGGTGTGACCGGTCGGCAGGGGATGCTCACTCCTCCATGGCACCTGATCCCACCTCTGGTGTTTTGGAGGTCTGTGTTTGCTCTGCTCCCATTTTGTATTGCTTTATGGACTTTTGCTATTGAATACTGTTCGTTTATCTCGATATGTTTCTCCTTAATCTAGAGAGACATCTCTTCAACTTAGAGATCCCGAGATTATCTAGGATAAAAAATAAAGCTGGTCATCTCTTTTTAAAGAGGGTAACTCGATTAGTGCCAGCACTAGTCATCCTCGGGGCCCTCTGTACATAAATAGTACAATTATGAATATAACAGTGCAATAATCAGAAAAATACAAGTATATTACATACGGGAAATACATTTGAAAAAAGTATATATTATCAATAAATAGAAACAAGTAACAAATTAACAAATGTTGGGGCCATTGATGATAAATTTTTCTACATTTTTACGAAAGGATTGTGTTTAAAAAAACGTACATTTTGAGGTAATTTGTTCCATAGATGAACGCCTGAATATAGAAAAGAATATTTAAACAGATTTGTTCGATACTTTGATAGACTAAGGTCATCATTGGATTCAGAGCGTAAAATATAATTATTGGAAGAAATGAATTCAAAGAAGTCTCATAGATAATCAGGTGTCATACCATGAAGTGTTTTGTAAAGCAGTATGTATTTGTAACAATTGTATCAATTTATATATGGTCAGCCAACCAAATTTAACAAATAATAGTAGTGATGAAACATCTGGTGCCACATCTAATATAATTCTTGATGCTCTTTTTTGTAATTTAAAAACTCTTTCTTTGCCAGCACCTGAAGCATTGCCCCAAATAGTTAAACAATAATTTAAAGAAGGCAGAATGTATGCATTACAAAAAAGTTTTCATGTGCGTAATGGGAGAATTTTTGTTTTATTTTACGTAATGTAAATAGTTAATACGTCAAGGACTTCCAAACAGAACCAATATGTTAAATATAGTGCAATGAATGGTCAATATTTACTCACAAGAGTTTTTCTGATTCAACATTTTTGAGAACTTTGTCTGATTTTGAAGATGTTAACTTAGATTTTCTATGTTGAGTTCCCATACATTTTGTCTTCTCAATATTCAACACCATTTGATTTCTAGAACACCAGTTTTCAATCTTACACAAAATCAATATTTAGGGCATTTTCAATAGAATGCACATTATTATGATATGTAAAGTTGCATCATCAGCAAACAAATCAATATCTGTATTATTTACATGTAGAGGAAGATCATTTATATACAGTAAAAATAAAAGAGACCCTAAAATGGACCTTGTGGCACACCTGCTGTGACGGGAAAGAATTTAGAGGAACATGTACCTAATTTTACAAATTGTGTTCTGGAGCTTAAATAGGAATAAAACCATTTAATTGACATTTGGTCAAAGTGATACAACTTAAGTTTTTTTATCAGAATATCGTGATTTACTAAATTGAAAGCTTTACTAAAATCTACAAAAGTTTTGAATACTTTTAATATTCCACAGAGCCAAAATGAATTTGAACTACCTTATATATATTTGATTCCAAAACTTCATAAGAATCCTTACAAAAAAAGATACATTGCAGGTTCCAGTAAATGTTCAACCAAGTCTCTTTTGTTACTCCTCACTAAGATATTGACAGTAGTGAAGGAAAGACTTCAAGAGTACTGTGCAACTATATATTCAAGAAGTGGTGTGAATCAGATCTGAATACTAAAAAATTCTAAAGAACTTTTGGTCACTTTGAAATCACAAGACTTTACAAAAATCAACAGCTTAAAAACTTACGACTTTTTAACTGTATACACAACAATTCCCCTAGACAAATTAAAATCCAGGCTTTTTGATATCATTGAGAGCTGCTTCTTCAATAAAAATGGAACTCGTAAATTTACTTACCTCGTCATTGGTCATTTGCAAAATTATTTTGTTAAAACAGATTCTGATTGCACACATAAGTACTCTGAAGTTGACATCAAGAAGATGCTGGAGTTTCTGATTGACAACATCTATGTGGTTTTTGGAGATCAGGTATTCCAACAGTCTATTGGAATTCCCATGGGTACAAATTGCGCTCCGTTAATACAGACTTATTTTTATATTAATATGCAGCAGAATTTATGCATAATCTTATGCGTGAAAAGAAGAAAACAGTTGCTGTGGCCTTCAACTCGACATGTAGATATATCGACGACGTATTGTCAATTAATAATGGTAATTTCCATTCCTACGTCGATACGATATATCCTGGTGAGCTTGAGATAAAAGATACCACAGAGTCCGACACTTCTGTTTCATACTTGGATATATTACTTGAAAAAGACACTTATGGTAATCTAACAACCAAGCTATATGATAAACGTGATGACTTTAACTTTTCTATCGTCAACTTCCCTTACTTATGAAGCAATATACCTTCATCACCTGCAAAGGGAGTATAGATATCTCAGTTGATTCGATACGCAAGAGCATGCTCTACGTATGAACAATTTCTAAAGCGAGGAAAATCATTGACAAGCAAGTTGACGAAACAAGAATATCAGCAGTCTCATTTAATGTCATCATTTCGTAAGTTCTATGGTCGATACAAAAACCTTGTCAGCAAATACAGTTCATCATTAAGTCAAATGCTGACTGACGTTTTTCATACCAATTGTTAGTCCATTATTTATACACTGAATTTTTCCTGTTATTTCCTGATCATGACAAGGAGCACACGGCGGGTGTGACCGGTCGGCAGGGGATGCTCACTCCTCCATGGTACCTGATCCCACCGGGGGTCCGTGTTTGCTCTGCTCTTTTTTGTATTGTTTTATGGACTTTGAGATTGAATACTGTTCGTTATATCCTTCCCATATCCTTCCCTACAAGATTTCCTTGATCTGTAGCTTGTAACCGATTGTTTAGTTGTTAGTTTCGTTAATGCTGTTTGAAAGGCTAGGTCTGTAGTTTTCTGGATCAGCATGGTCCCCATTCTTAAAAATAGGAGTGAATTTTGCTATCTTTAAATGTGATGGAAATACACCATTAATGATGCTAGCATTTATAAGATGTGTAATGGATTTGCATGTGATATTTGCTGAAAGTTTTAGTAGACGTTGCGCAGTAAAATCTACACCTACTGATTTATTTACTTCTAGTCCATTCAACATATTAAATACTTCTGTCTCACTAATTTGGTGAATACTGAAAAAGTTTTCATTTCCAAGTTTTGATTTTGCAAAGTTTTTTAATAATTCAGAATCAACATTTTGCACCGACATATCTGACAAAAACTTACTGGATACTTCTGTAAAGTGTTAATTAAAAATATCAACTATATCCTGTAAATTTTCAAAATCAGAACCATTCTGAGTGATATGGGTTGGTGTAAAGTTTTTGGAGTCTGGAGGTGCCAACTGGTTTAAATAACCCCATATTTCTTTAGGACTTGAGCTTTCTTCAATTGCTGATTTGTTATAAGATGTTTTGGCCTGATCAACTAGCTGTGTGACTTTATTTCTCAAAAATCTGAAATTGTCTGAATCCCCTCGTATATGGTATTAATCACGTAAATGCCTAGCTTCTTTAATTTCTTGTGTAAGCCATTTAGGTCGAATATCTAACTTGACTTTTTGTTTTTACTTTTGCATGTTTGTTAAGAATGTCATTGAATAAATCATAAAAACTGTTCAATATTTCGTTTGGATCATCAATTTGGAATGGAATGGCAACCCGTGTTCGTGCTGGTTATCTTGCATTAGATTTGTTTACATTTTTTGCAGTTACATTCATCGGTGTTTGTTTGTATTGTAAGCACCTGTCAGATGACTATAAATCAACTATGGTGTACTATGTAATAATTATTGGGTGGGTGGACTTTACTTGTGATGATATTTCATGTGTGTCAAAACGTTGTGACAACATTGGCCGAGAATGTTAGAATTTGTATTTACTTTTATATGCCATGAATTTGTTACCTTTCATCTTAAATCTGCATGTATTTTCTGAGTTAACTGTCATTATATTAGCAGTACTACGTGTGTGGATAAGCTGCTATACTTTGAATCATCTGCTGCCATGCCACTTGTTTACATTCTGTCTGCCATCTTTATATCGGGCATGCTATGTACATAGTTTCGTATTTTACCAAACTTGTTATTCATGCTATATTACGGGCATAATTACTTGCTATTAATTATGTTAATTATTATTGTGGGTTCTTCTATTCACTTTAGCCCATTATTATTCCTGATTACATGTGTCTACAACTTGCACTATATTTTTATCCATCCGCGATATCGTCTGCATACTCAGCAAGTTTATATATGTAAAATTTACAAGTTTCAGATATAAACTGTTTACTTACTTATAATAGACACATCTTTTGTAATCCATATTTATTGGTTATTTTGTCTTTTCACATTTTAATTCTGTTTTGTAGTTATTATCCTTATTGTACGGTAGCCTTGTTTGGCACTGCTTGGCAGATCTCTGTTTGTACGGTACCGTACAGTGCCGTGATTTGTGGAACGTCGCCGTACAGCATTTTTATTGGTTGAATCTAGTCATGTGACCCTTTTCCGAAGGTTATATATAGGGGCCGATCGCATTATGTAAACAGATAATTTGCCAAGTTGTCATGCGCGTACATTTCAAAGAGAAAAATCCAAGATACGCCCATATTTTCACTGTAGCCTTATAAAGCATTACCATTGTGATTTCAGGTGAGAAAATGATCGACAGTTATCTTCCAACACACTGGACACCTAATTAATTGTAATTAAATGTGGGGATCATCCTAGTTTAGCCATTGTACACCCCCTCTATTTATAATAGTAGCCTGTACGGTAGACGCCACCAAAATTTATTATTGTACCTTTTGAAGTCAGAGCTGATTTATGATTAATAAATATTGTTGAGACCAAGACGAATCTTATGTTTTCCCTATAACCAGAGGAACAAGGATTTTAGTACAGGAGTACAACCAGTATTTATTTTGTAGTGTCCCTGACTTAAGCTTGGCCATTCCCAGGGAGCTTACAGTATACTGCATTGACCTGTATTACTATAATTGTAAGTTTCTTTCGTATCTTCCTTTCCTGCATTAGACAAAGTATTACTATTAATAATTGTGGCTATCGATTGTTGTAAAGCATACGTCCATTTACACCAGATTACACTAAACAGTGACTAAGTCCTGCCCTTTATATAGGGGTAAGCAGATGAAGCGAATCCAAACAAAAATGGCAAACACAAATTTTACAAATTGTATTCAACTATAACAGTAATATTTTTGTAAGGTATATGACTAAGGCTTTTAAAAGAATATTTGCTTGAACCTGCAATGTATCTCCGTTTGTAACGGTTTTTTTTTTATAAAGTTCAGGAACCCAGTATAGGATGGGTAGATCAAACTATATGATTTAGGTTCGTGACTGGAACTTTATAAACTTTAATGTAATTTTTTAGATTTTCATCTTTAGAAAGTAAACTGAAAGAATAAGGTTGATATTGTAACGGGGTGGGGCAATCCTCTACTACTATTGGACCGCTCTCTCACTCTATCTATAGGGGCTGTCTTATCTTTCGTGGCAAGGCTTGCGTTACACAGCTCAACCCAAGCTCAGGAGGGCTAGTATGGCACAGTGGTTCAAAACTCAATACCCTTTAATCTTATATCACAACACTAAATTATCTCCCTTTAATCAATGAACTCAGATGCCCAAAACCTATACCTCCTATTATTAACCCGCGCTCTCTAAGTTACACTAAATTTATTAATACACGAAATCTCTCAGCTTTTCTTCTCTATTTGTCAAGCTTGTTACAACCTAGACCTAAGGAAGTCACTAAAATTCTTGAATACTCATTATCTTATTACTCAGTTCTTAATCTCTTATATCCCACAATTTCCATCTTGTTGGAAAACCACACTTTGATAAAACCTTGTAAATCTCTGTACTTGAAATGAGGCAAAATACAGTTTTACAATTTATTATAATAATTATCTCTCAATTAAACAATCAACAAATTCTAAACTCTGTCTCAGTCTGTCTATGTCACCTATTTGTCCTAACCTATCTGACTAAAACCAACTTCAATGCAACTCACAAAACTCCTGACTTTCAAAACCCCCTCTCAGACCTCCTGGATGAAAGTAAAAACCAATAACTAAAACTTAATCCCTTAGACCTAATTAATTCCTAACAAATTTGAAATACCAGTAATTCCTGCAAATTTCTTAAGTCTGAATTCCAGTTAAAAACAGTAGCAAAATTTAGAAATACACTAGCTTCCTTAGCTTACTGTATAAATTACCTAAACAATTTCAAGTAGTTCTAAAATTTAACAACAATTTACCAAAAATTCAAACAACCAGCAAAATTTAACCAAGTCCAATTCTCAGTTAAAATTCACTAAATCCTGACCAAAACTTCCTATAAAATTCCACAAATATTCCAAAAGTTCCTAAAATTCCTTAAACTAACCCTGGCTCTTCTTAAACTAAAACTAAAAAGTCATTATTAAATTTAAATTAAAAACGCCCAACCCATACTAACTCCTTACCCTAAAATACGTCCTCTCTAAATAGACCAACTTAGCAGAAGAGCAAAAATTACTTGAATCTCTCCCTTTTATGCAACAATATGACGTAATTGTTGGAAACTGTTGGACCCGTTGGAAAACTTTGGAGAATCTCTCGTGACATTTCCCGTAAACAGCAAAGTCTATAGAAAAATCTAATAACTACAAACAAGACAACTTTTCTGAATGAAAGTAATCTCTAAATACATTCTTCAATTAGAATAAGTATATTAATCTCCATTTAAATCAACAAATATAACACAATTAACTCCAAAAATCCTAAAACTATCGTAACTTTTACGATCGGACTCGACCTACACAATTTACGACCGCCAAGTTCGTAAACAAATCTACCAGTCTATAAGTATAAACTGCCGATAATTATCTGAAAACAAGTTAAACTTCAAGAAAACATGATTCCATCCATAAATCTATGGTTAATCTACTACAGAAGACCAATTAAAGTCCCTGAAACATGAAGTAAGCTAAAATAATACCACAACTTTACTATTGCTACGATCAGCTGATTTCTACGTAACTCAAAACATGTGCACAAACTATTTCAACTCATGTAAATCACTTAAAGTTGTCAATAATCACCTATCAACTACATGCAAAGCATAAATTAATACATATTCCTGCAATCTCAAGTAATTATAACACATATTCAAATTCATCTCAACTCTCCTACAATATGTCAACAATAATCAGGTTCAATAACTCTATATAAAACTAATCTATCAAATCTCTGGACCGTTACAATATACAGAAGTAGAATTAAACAAAGATCTTCTAATATTTATAATAATGAGTCTAGTAAACAAAGACGATATTGTTATAAGAATTGTCGGATGGTTCCATAATATATTTTCATTTCAATTTTGCTCAGTAGTGACACATATTTTTCATTCAATGGTTGACATAATGCAACAGAGAAAATTAGGAAGATTCTTATCATTGTTCGATATCATCAACTTATGATACCAAGATTGTCTGGTTTTTAAAATGCATACATGATAGATTTTATTTTTATTATGCTGCTTCATTAAAACAAGTTTCAACATTAAATTATGTGAAAATCATACAAAAACATTTAAAAACTTTGAAAGCATTTTACCCATTTATGTCATTAAATGAGGAACAGTTTGAAATGTTTAAGAGAAACCCTTGTCCTCCGCTCATATATATGTCTATATGTCTGCGGTGTCAACAATGGTCCTGTATTCTCCTGCATCTAATGTTGTGTCTTTCTTTTGTTTTTGTGTTAATCTGTATCATCTTTGAAGCTACAATTCTAAAACTGTTAAAATACAGTAAGTCTGGGAATTAAACACATGAACTACATCTAAATATAACATTTAATGCTATGATGTTTCTTAGAGTAAAACTTTTTTTTTTAACAATTACTGCACAATCGTTACTATTTTATACATTTTTAGCGTTATACTTTGATAAATCGAAAATTCTCACCTTTCATCATTATAAGAAATCAAGACCGTTGCCACGGGATGTTGTTGAAGCCTGCAGTTGATTGAATTTGTCACGTGATCGGGATAGTCTACCCAAACACCACTATTGTCCTGCCATTGCCAGGATAGATACGGACGTACATGTGAATTATATGTAAAGACGGAGTTGTTTCTTAAGTGATGTTTCGAAATGAGTGCAGTGTTCGTCTCCATTTCTGTATTTGTTCCCATCTGAACAGTTTCCGTATTTGTTCCATCCACACAAAGTTCAGGATTTTTATGAGTATTAGTCGAAGTATTGATGCTAGGTTTTCCTTTGAAATGAACACAGTTATTTACAATCACAGAGGAATTCACAGTTAGGGGATTTTGATATTCGTCCGGACTTGAGGACCGATTGATATGGGCAGAACTTTTAGATATACCTCCCACTGAGTTGCCTTTTAGACCAGTATCCTGTCCTTCATCAGTTTCCAGATCGTCCACTGAAACAGCTGTTAAGGAGTGTTCTGTCTGTTTGACTGTAGCATTAGCTCTATCATTACAATCTCTCTGTCCCCGTTGTAAAATTAGTTCATGCGGTGTTTCTGTTGTCTTTGCATCTGCCGCCTTTTGAAACACTGTTCTTTGACCCTGATTTGATGTTTTACTCTGCCATGTTATATTTCCTTTATTTTCCTGCATAATGCAATCACTCTGTTTAGTTGTGTTATGTGGTGTTTCCTTTGTCACAGAATTATCTGCAAAAGTCATGTAATTTATTATCAACCCTTTAATTCTATCAATCAAAGGCAAATTGAGTTAGTAAGGGTACAATTGAGTCCTGTTAAAATGCATAAAATCTTATCACACAGTAAATCTTTATTGAAACGATTGATTGATTGTGTTTAACGTCCCTCTCGAGATTTTCATATTGAGACGACACCTCTTGCCAGTGGAGAGCTACTATTTTTGTCCTTTACTCGGCACTCTAGTCATTGAGCAGTGAGGGGTTTTTAAGTGCCGGCACCTACTGCGATACGGGACCTCGGTTTATACGGTCTCATCAGAAGGACCGGCCTCCACGTCCCACAGCGGGATTTGAATCCGCGACGTAAGGATCGACTCCTTTTTTCGCGACCTTAGAGCAGACGCTCTAGATAGCCACTGCGCCATGCGGGAGAGCCATGAAAGAGAAGGAAAGAAAATAAAATAATAATAGAGGAACCTTTTAAATCATTTGAGGCAATCATGTGTTCTGTAATTGTACCAGACTGGTTTGATGTATTCTGCTGTTCTATAACGGCTTTTATAACCTCGGGTGAGAACGGATCGCTACAATACAAAACATATCCTACTTATATACAATATATATAAATAGCCAGACACTGATTATATATCATAGAAAATAATTTTTGAAAAGTCTGTTTTACTATATGTTTATTGGGTATTATTTATTATATGTATGTACTTAAAATAGATTACCATAACTCAATGTCGTATTTTCCATCATATCCAAATCTGTAATTACCCATTCTTCCACATGGCCATCGAATCTTAAATGTATTACATCTGCCAAAATTATTTTTCTTAACCTAGAGATTTGGGTTTTTAGCAACTTTTATTTCTCTTAGTCCTAAGAAAAGCGAATTTTTGACAGGCAAACTGAGTTAAATTACTATCAAAAAACGAACTAAAACCCCAGTATTTCATAATTCAATAAATATATTCAGTACTTTTTCTATTCTTTGCTATGGTCGGAATAATGACCTTGTTAGCAAATATGAGGTATCATTGAGTCGCATTTTGGCTAACTGGAATTTCCAGAGGTTTCTGTTTTATTACTCTAGATCACTAGATTTTCGCTACACTTTATTTTAGCGAGAAAGTCATTGACTCTTTTCACGAATTGTGGCAATTGCTCTATATAATCCAAAGAAATATTATCAAAACCGAGAATTAAAGTTTTGCGAGCAAACTGCAATTACGAAAAAATAAAGTTATGGCGAATACCAGGGTAAAAAATTATTTATAGCATGTAAAGTATCTTTAGATTCCGAGAGATCGATCGCTTTTCACCTTTTACATTGGAGCTTTTATTTCTGGACCAAAAATAAAAGTTTATAGTCTTCAATTCTGAAAGTTTATAAATAAAAAAAATATTAATAAAATAGATTTTATTGATAAGCATGCATATTAAACAGAACTAACATAAACGGTGGCATTATCCATCACTCGATAACAAGTCCCGATAGCCTCTTCTCCGCCGTCCTGATCTCCCCATTTCCAGTCAGGACCTTATTAGAAAATGAATGGTATATCATACGTATGTGCTTTCCAAATGTAATGAAATCGTCTCTTTACTTAAAGATTAAAAGACATATTGCACACCTTAGATACATCAAAATGAAATACCTCTCTTAACAAAACAACCGACAGCGACCAATCCATCAAGAGGGACCCTGGGTTCCTCACAAACCACCACATCGTACATGCCTCTTATCCCATAGTTGTACATACTGCGCTCTCCATTATCCCACTCTACCAGTACCAGCCCAGCTGTGGATGATAAAGACGTAGTCTCATCCAGTGTATAAGAAAAGGGGCCATTTCACATGATAAATGTCCCGTTTGTTCAACCCTCCAAATTGTTACAATAAGAGGTTGTAAAAAGCACATCAAAACATTGGAGGCGAGATCAGGAGCCATTAAGGAGTGTGCATCCCCTAACTGTCGACCGGTCACACCAGCCAAGTGTTCCTTGTCATGATGGGAAAATGACGGGAAAACCCGTCGTCAATTCAGCGTATTTATAAATAATGGACCAACAATTAGTATGAAAACTGTCAGTCAGCATTTTACTCAGCATTTGACTTGAATGATAAATTGTATTTGCGGACAAGGTCATTGTATCGACTGTAGAACTTACAAAATGATGACTGTAAACGAGGCTGTTGTTATTCTTATTTCATCGGCTTGTTGGTCAATAATTAACCTCGTTTTAAAAATCGTTCATAAGTAGAGCATAAGTTGACTATCGAAAAGTTAAAGTCATCACGTTTATCACAGTGCTTGGTTGTTAGATCAATTACCATTAATTTCTTTTTCAAGTAATATATCCAAATATGAAACAAATGTGTCTGACTTTGTGATATCTTTAATCTCAAGCTCACATGGAAATATGGTATAACATAGGAATGGAAATTAACATTGTTAATTGAAAATACGTCGTCGATCTATCTCAATGCGAGCTGAAGATCATAACAAGTGTTTTCTTCTTTTCATGTTTTTGATTTTGGACAAATTCTGCTTCATATGAATACAAAAATAGGTCTGCTAAACGGAGCGCAATTAGTATCAATAGGAATGCCAATAGATTGTTGGAAGACCTGGTCTCCAAAAACCACATAGATATTGTCAATCAGAAACTTAAGCAAATGACCATAGACAAGGTAAGTAAATAAACGAGTTCCATTTCTATTGAAAAAGCAGTTGTCAATGGTATCAAAAAATATCAAATAGATTGTGCTTAATCAGTAAGAGGCAAATCTATACTACTCTTATCCACCTTTATCCCCATGACCCACTATGGTTCCGATGCCCTCGCTATCCTGGTTCTGGAATCTCCAGTGGGGACCCCGGCGAACTCTAGTACCGAGCCTAGGAATTGTAGAGTATTTCTCCTTATACCATCTGCCCTCCTCGTCTTCTACCCTTTGCTGGGTCTGCATAATTCTCGCTTTGTTCCGTATCAACTCGTATATTGCGTCCTATGTTAATAATACTCAATTTAAATTATCTTTTTAAAAAAAATCTTATCCATTGGTATGTGATTCTTTCAGTGAGTCTGTGTGTGTGAGGGAGAGGATGAGGGTGTGTGTGAGTGAGTATATACCCCAAAGGTTACGGCTTGACAGGGCGTGTATGTTTAGGTGCCGTCTGCTGAAATAGTCCTAGTACCAAGGACCAGAAAGGTTCAGTGTCAAGAGGTACAAAAATGATGGTACCAAAGTAAAAGAATATCTGATAAGAGAAATAACTTCCTATGGACATTTCTTCCTGATTTGACCCAACGAAAATATGTGATTTCACAGTATACACATACGTAACAAAATTTCTTTGAATTCTTTCAGAAGAGGGGTGGTGGGACATGGCAGTTGAATCAGTTTCGTAGCAGATACAGTATAAGATGGTTTTGTATGATTTTTTTTCATTTGTATAATATTGCATAAGCGCATTGATGAAAATAGATACTTATGTAATTATACGTTTGAAATTTTCCATAAAGAGCTAATGAGCTAATTTATCAGTCTGGTCAAAGTGATTCTGCTCTTATTTTAAATTGTATGATCAACTTATTTGAATTGATACTTGTTAAGAAAAATACTATGATCTTGTAGACATCCCAAATCGTCCTCACCATAGGTCTGCCATACCCGTACAGATTCTTCATCATAGGTCTGCCATTGTAGTGCAGATTCACCCACGGATCTCAAATTCTCTCTTTCTATTTCATCCTCATTTGTTACTTTGCATATCAAAGTTGCTGAAAGCTGTAAAATACCACACGCCATGATAAATATTTTCTTATTTTTACAAGATCAGAACTAGAAGAAATGACTGTTTGTGTAACATAAATTACGTAATGGAGGGTATATCGTCCAAAACACTTTGCTTCATAAATCTCCAAAACTTTGCCTCCCTTAGAAACACCCGATATGGTTTGTAATAAAGCCTGGAATCAATACAGTTTGATTAAACATGAAAAAAATCTGTGTTTTTTTAATTCTTTGACATTTGAACGTTTTTGCAATTTACTTAAACTTATCATCTGAAGAATGAAATTATTGCTCATTAACATATTTGAATTGATTTCATTTGAATTAATATTCATGTGATTATAAAAAAAACCGTAACAAGTATGATGTTATTGTGATATACATTAAATGGCTTACGTAATTTGGATTTTTTCCGACTGGGAAACAGAAAATCGGATGATCTGCTCCTATTCGATGTAAAACCGCAAAGAATGGTGCTAATATCTATAAGATTAAATGATTCAATTTTTATATTCTATTAAAATTTATATTATTTATTGACTATAACTTAAACAGAGTTTTATAAAAACACAGTTCTTAAACCAAACTTGCGAGACTATAATGATTACATGCTCATTAGGTATTAAATCCGTGTCACTGTCGGTAGCGCATGAATCTGTGAAGTCTGTAATTCGGCCATCTGTAAATAGTACCACTCTGGGATGGAGAAGAAAGTCACCAACTTTGCTGGTA